GTGAGGTGTCGGTGTCAAGGCTTTGGCAGCCGCTGTGGAAACGTTAAACTGAAGCTCTTTTCAGCCGCTTCACTTTAAAGGATGCTGCAGCGCCTCCCTGTCATCGCAATAAGGTCCAGTACCCAAACACCAACTGGACGTTTAATACAAAATAGTTTGTCTCCTAGTACAGTAGTACAGGAGTATTAAAGTTGTGCAAACAGGTTTAAAACAAATACTCTTACGGCGGCGGCGTGCGTTGAAGCTTCAACGTTTCTACCCATTCACTTTGAATGGGGTGACGTCACGCTTTGCCGAACGCGTTGCTCGCTTCAAAAGTTGAGCAATGTTCAACTTTTGAAGCCTCGACGGAAGCGTCAGCCAATCAAATCATATGCTAGTACAAGCTCTAGCCAATCAAACCGCGTGCTTGTGTGTCCGGGGTGGGAGATTAATGTGATTGGTTGTTGGTCGAGCTTCAGACACGCCCACGGGCAAGCTTCAACGCACGCCGCTGTGTGGACGCTGCGTTAGATTGCAATTTCATTTGCAAGTCTATGTTTGTTTTCAAACTGTGTTTTTGTCTTGCATACTTTCACTCAGTATTTAACTTTATGGAATAAGGTCTATTTTTTAAAAGTTTTCTCAGTGCAAATAAAGGCATCAACCGATCATGTTGTGTGGAAAAGACATATAATAAAACGTACATGAAAACAGAGTCTCCGTAGTCTGAATTATGACAACAAACTTTGTTAATCCTACAGAACCACATCCTCTGTAATATGTCACAATAAAAGCCTGGACTTATACGCACCGTTACTGTTTACCAGAGGAAACTTAGACTCACTCAATAAAATAACTTACAGTAGCTTAGACTATACAACAATTAACAATAAGCAGACTGCCAGAAACTCATCTGGTTCAGTATGATCCTGATAGTTGGTCTTCTGCCTGCGTAAATGTACTCAAACCTTGTATTGAACAAGTGTTGAACAGTTCACAAACTCACGTTGCTGGTATGAAATATTCGCAGGTGAGGATTTATCTTTTTAGTATTGTATTAACGTTTTGATAGGACTGACTACATACAGTTTGAAGGGTGGTTTGGCAACTCTCAGAGCCTCCAAAGTCGTTTCTAAGGAGTGACCAGCAAATATAACTCCTTGTTTCTGTGAACACGTAATCCTGTACACAACTGACGGTTTCCAAACACAGTTTCTTTTATGTTTGCAAGTTTATACTAGACCGAACATTTAATGCCTTTTCAGAGTATATCATTTGTACTTTCTCGCCTCGGCCTCACTTTCTTGTTGAGACAAACAACTCGTGTGTGTGTGTGTGTGTGTGTGTGGTGTGTGTGTGTGTGTGTGTGTGTGTGTGTGTGTGTGTGTGTGTGTGTGTGGGTGTGTGTGTGTGTGTGTGTGTGTGTGTGTGTGTGTGTGTGTGTGTGTGTGGTGTGTGTGTGTGTGTGTGTGTGTGTGTGTGTGTGTGTGTGTGGTGTGTGTGTGGTGTGTGTGGTGTGTGTGTGTGTGTGTGTGTGTGTGTGTGTGTGTGTGTGTGTGTGTGTGTGGTGTGTGTGTGTGTTGTGTGTGTGTGTGTGTGTGTGTGTGTGTGTGTGTGTGTGTGTGTGTGTGTGTGTGTGTGTGTGTGTGTGTGTGTGTGTGTGTGTGTTGTGTGTGTGTGTTGTGTGTGTGTGGGTGTGTTGTGTGTGTGGTGTGTGTGTGTGTGTGTAAAAGGGCTGAATAGGGATGTGAGACTTCATTCGAAAAGGTCTGACCAGTGAAAATGTGCAGGAACGCTGTCTCCCAGAGAATCCTCGTACCACAGAGAGGAATCAGTTCAACAGGATTGAACAACACGATATGATTCCCCGCTAGATATGATGTTCAGATTGCTGTCTGCTTTCTCTCTTTCTTTCTCTCATAAGTTCCCTCAGCTCAACCCTTATTTCGTAAGAATGCAAATCAGTTCTCTCCACGGACACGTTTTGGAAGGTCCACTTCCCCATACCTGCCGAGCATTCCAGCCAATCAGATCCTCCGCTCAAGGGCAAGTTCGAATACGAATGGTGCTGCGACATGTTTAGCATTCCCTCCGTGCTGCAGCGATCTGGGCTTTGTGCTCTCTGCTGCAAGGTTGTGGAGTTTTTTTGGGCGGGGGGATCAGAACAGTACTGAGCACAGCAGCGTTAAGACACTCTGGGTATCAGTGCCAAAACACACTCACTGACCCTCAAACCTGGAAGAGAAGACATGGTATTCCACTCTGGAAACACTAAATACAGCTACACGTTGAAATGTTATTTATTAACATTCATTACATAAAACCTGATAACATGTTCGTGTTTGCATCAACCAAAGTGAGAGTGTGGGTAGGTGGGTGGGGAAGAGTCTTGTCTGAGCAAATCCAGGTCAAGGATAAGTGACACCTCAGCATCTATTTGCTCATCCGTCAACAAGCAGCAACTCATTGTTCCCTCTGGCCTCAAAACTCATCCACATTTTAGCAAAGTGTGTGTGTGTGTGTGTGTGTGTGTGTGTGTGTGTGTGTGTGTGTGTGTGTGTGTGTGTGTGTGTGTGTGTGTGTGTGTGTGTGTGTGTGTGTGTGTGTGTGTGTGTGTGTGTGTGTGTGTGTGTGTGTGTGTGTGTGTGTGTGTGTGTGTGTGTGTGTGTGTGTGTGTGTGTGTGTGTGTGTGTGTGTGTGTGTGTGTGTGTGTGTGTGTGTGTGTGTGTTTGGGGGGAAACGATTATTTTGAAAACGATTAATCGGGCGATTATTTGATCGATTAGTCGACTAATCGAACGATTATTTTTCTGTTGTTCAATTCATAAAAAACGTAATGTCAAAAAAAATTTTTTCACGATACTGTGTCTCAGGGGATCTTAATATTTAAGAACCTATTAATGTGTTATACCAGATTAACGGAAATAATCTCAGCTAACTGACGATACAAACCATGTTTACCAAAACAAAACACAAGTCTCATAAGAAGCATCTAAATGACCCCTGAGCGAAAAATGCTAACGGACATTGGCACAGATCTCAAGATAAAAGTACCCTTATTACTTATCGTAGCTGCACATACAAGATATCCGATTAAAGCTGAGACTCCATAGATTATGTAGGTACATAGTGTCATCACTGAGTGATCCGGACTCGCGACAGGGGAAGCAAATACAGTCATCACAACACGTACCTTCACAGAGCTTCTAGGGAGATCGTCTCACCGCCGTAGCTGTCAATCTGATCAAAATACGTGTTCAATGGCATTAAAATGAGAAAAAACGCGGCTGAATCGGTTAATCCATAGGTTTTTAACGTCTATGTATAAAAAAATTATTGAATTTATAATCCATCATTCCATTTTAATGTAAAAATCGGAGAGCAAATGCTAGCTGCTAATGGTTGCCACCACAGCTAGCTGCTGCTTCCGGTCAAGCAGCAGTCTCAGTGAGATATAAATATATAAATATCTTTGCGTTTTGGACTAACTTTAAAATATTCCCATGCTTTTGAAGACCTAGGGCGAGATGTTTTCGTTTGAGGGCTTCGTGCGCAATCCTGTGAGGAGGAGTTGGTAGCCGTTTCAGTCTCCATTGTGTTAGAAGTGCGATTGCGAACTGCTTGTTGCTTTGGGTGACCCACGTGTGTGTGGCGACCATATATACAGTCTATGGTGGCTACGCGTCGACGCGGAAATATGTCGTCGACGATATTTTGAAGTCGACGCGTCGCTACAGCACTAGTGTGTACGTACCCCCCCCTAAGTCCAATCAGCCTCAACACCACTGTATCAAATTCCCTTCCAACTGCCTTTCAAGATACAATGTGGCTCCTATTTAACATGCACTGAGTCAACTTCCCCTGCGTGGCCTTTTGTTGAGTGTGTGTCTATCTGTGAGCATGCGTGCATCATGAAGAAGAAAAAAAGTGAACGGGGCCCCTCAGTGAGGCCTGGTGGCTCTGTGGCCCCTGGCTGGGTTAGCAACATTAGCATGTAGCCTGGAGAGAAATTCTGCTGCAGACGGGTGACCACCATCATTTGTCATCATTGACCTTTTCTCTCTCTCTCTCTCTCTCTCTCTCTCTCTCTCTCTCTCTCTCTCTCTCTCTCTTCTCTCTCTCTCTCTCTCTCTCTCTCTCTCTCTCTCTCTCACTCACACACACAGTGTAAAAGCTAATAAGTGAAAAGGTCTTGAAGGAGAAAAAAAAAGACAGAGATGGATGGGAAGATAATGAGAGGAGGGCAAGAGGGGGCAATGAGTTGCAGATGCACACTGCACACACACACACACACACACACACACACACACACACACACACACACACACGGTCCCACCCCTTCTGCCATCTCAGCTGCTGTTTCAAAACAAGACATATAACCCTTTGACCTTCCAGTCTCTTTGTGGTCATGGTGATTTGTTTTTGTTGACTCCAAAGAGGTTGTGCTGGCACTCGATTGTGTTGCACCCAATAGATGGTGCAGGGGTGAAACATTGTTTTAGGATGACCAGTAAGTAAGCCTTGCAAGGGCTCCCCGAAAAAGATCAAATACGATTTTTCCATTATATTTTTGGATTATTGCAGAAAATAAACTGAACTTTAATGATTAAAGTGAAATGCTTACATTAGGCTATAAAGGAACTACAGCACGGTCACATGACTTCACGTCGACACCGCTAAGCTAAAGGCGGCTAATGTTGGGCGTGATGACGTTTCGTAGTACTACAATATATGGTGTATATTTTATTTTTGGGATCATGCAGCCCTACTTCAAATCATAAAATAAGAAACACAATAAAACGATGCTCCAAAATGAAAGGCCGTCTGCCTCTCAGTTTGAAAAGGTGTTGTTTTTCACCATCTACCCTTATTGGTTGTTGTGACAAATGGAAAAGAAACATGTCCATAGTGAGGAGGTTGCATTAACCCTGAGGTCATTGGTTGATTTGTTGATGCAATGCATTGTTCTTCTTACCCTGAAACTTAATATGTGTTTCTCCTCCTGTTTTCTCTCTCAGGCCTTTGGGAACGCCAAGACCGCCCACAACAACAACTCCAGCCGCTTTGGAAAATTCATCCAGGTGAATTACCTGGAAAGTGGAGTAGTCAGAGGGTGAGTCATGAACAGGGGATATGTGTGTGTGTAACGGGGTGTGTGTGTGTCCTTGCAACCAACCACTGAAAACTAGGTCTCACACAGCCTTCATCTGCAGTATAGCACCATACAGGGATATGCACACTGTTTCTGTGTCCTCTTCCTGTTTGTCAACACAGTCTTCTCTGTGTGTGTGTGTGTGTGTGTGTGTGTGTGTGTGTGTGTGTGTGTGTGTGTGTGTGTGTGTGTGTGTGTGTGTGTGTGTGTGTGTGTGTGTGTGTGTGTGTGTGTGTGTGTGTGTGGTGTGTGTGTGTGTGTGTGTGTGTGTGTGTGTGTGTGTGTGTGTGTGTGTGTGTGTGTGTGTGTGTGTGTGTGTGTGTGTGTGTGTGTGTGTGTGTGTGTGTGTGTGTGTGTGTGTGTGTGTGTGTGTGTGTGTGTGTGTGTGTGTGTGTGTGTGTGTGTGTGTGTGTGTGTGTGTGTGTGTGTGTGTGTGTGTGTGTGTGTGTGTGTGTGTGTGTGTGTGTGTGTGTGTGTGTGTGTGTGTGTGTGTGTGTGTGTGTGTGTGTGTGTGTGTGTGTGTGTGTGTGTGTGTGTGTGTAAACTTTCGACCACCAGCATGTGCTTCCTTTTTCTCAGCAGTCAGTCTCTGGTTAGCACTGTATTAAAGTGTTCAGCTGTGTCACTTCCTCAACAGGAGAGAAGCAGCTGCTCGGTAGGGAGTCTTAAAAAAGACAACGTGTTATGCTGTAGTTGGGGAAGATTTAAAAGCTGAAGAGCTACAAAGAATATACGGTACAATCAGGGTTACTATGGATCCTTAAAATGTCAAGGCATTGAACTCAATGATCTAATAATAAAGCGTTAATTGGTATAAAAATGTCTTAAATGAATCCTTTTCAGAAGCCCTAAAAATGAATAGGAAGTAAGATTTTCCCCCCTTTCTCTGCATTGTAAAATCTTAAAATTAATTGTTAACATCTGTTTTTTCAATTAATTAACTCTTGCATTAATGTTATCCAGATCTAGATTTTTTGTGTAAAATACGTTTTAAATTTGTTTTGTGGGTGGCATTAAAACTATAATCTGAATCTGTAAAAAAACCTGGGTACACCACTCAAACTCAATTGATCAATTAAACCGAAATGTATCTGATACAAATCAATGCAACCATTCAAGTGTCAAAGACTTCAAAAGAACATATGTTTAATAAATCACACATCTGTATCAGGGGTTTTTCTAGAAAACTATAGTATGAGGGTAATACTGTGGCGCTGATCTTGTACATAAGATATATAAAGTCTCCCAAGAACATAACGCCCGTATACAAGATGGCGCCACGGACGTAAACAACAACGCAACGTTGGAAGCTGTCTGACGTCTGATGGTCTATTTGACACGGTTTTCATATTTTTGGAGTAATTATACAGGTTTTGACGAACAGAAATATTGTTTTCTGGCATCACTTTAAAATGTTACGGGTCAAATCTGCATTTTGGTAAGTTGGAGCAGCAAAAACAAAACCCTGGAATTGATCAAGACGTTTAAATTAGTTAAATATATATGAGATGAATATTTACAGAAACAAATTATATAGACATTTAAGTGTAATAATATAGATCAGGTGAATAATAACACAAATATTTAAATTGATGTAGACAGTTCAATTGGATAATGATGTATACATGAGATGAAAATAGGCTAACAGGATGAGATTCCTGACTGGTGTGTATGGAGGAGTTTGGCTCTAGAAATAGATTGAATTGAAACGTGTAAATGCCTGTGGCGACAGCTGCTCCGCGCCGCACTAACTGGGCTTCCCCAACCTGATTATCCTCTAATGGCAGCAGATCTCATCATGCTCTATTCAATTGCTTACCCTCAGAAAGGTTTGTAATCCAATCAGCCGAGTTGATTTGAGCCCGCTGATGCTTTCCTGTGCTGCACACAGTGAACCCATTTGAACGAGGAAACGCTGAAAACTATGAATGGAATCCACCTGAAAGCATCACTGTATATGTTAGTGTATCCTGCAGGGAAGTATTGGCCTCATCACAGCTCTGTAGTCGGTAAGAAAGGCTGCCTGTGTCTGTCTCTCTGTCTCCAGTGGTGACATTCAGACAGTCGATAGAGGAGAGGAACAAAGGGAAGGCTGCGGTCGCTGTGCTAATCCTGAGCACTACCATGAAAGAAATTCACTTTGAAGGAGGTGTCAGTGAAAGATGTCTGAGCATGAACACATACTGTATGTGTTTATGCATGCGTTGTAAGGTTTCTCTTTGCCACACACTGACAGATATACTGTATAGAAAGTATGGCAGTAAGGCTCCTGTTAACGACTTTGGGGAGCTTTCAAATAACGCCTCATCATGCCTTAATGCCTTGAAATGCTTTTATAAACACACTGAAACTTGTATATGTCATGTTTATATGAGTCAATGAGACACGTTGTTGAAATGCATCCTGCAAAATGTGGTAAATAGGGTAAAAAAAACAACACATTTCTGGTGTATTTGCACAGGTGTGTTCGAGAGATTTTTTTTTTTTTTTTAAATAAACAAAACTAACATTAATTGGCACGGAGCCTTCTTCTGTTTTGAGAAAAGAAAATGTGTTTTAGTGACAGCTGCCTGGTGATTAGCTGCTCTCACTTTCTCGTTCTCGCAATGGAAACTAGCAAATTGGCTAGAGCTCCAGCAAATTGTACGTGATAGGCTGAGGGGCGAGACATCTCTAAGCGGTTGACCGACCACAACAGAGCCGGCCAGCTAACCAATCAGAGCAGACTGGGCTCTGGTTTCACAGGCAGTATGAGAGAAATAAAGAGCTGTTTGAACATTAAAGCACAAGTCACAGTAGAGACACTACATGTAATTATGAAACTGAAAATGAGCAGCCCTTTTAAGATATACAACACAGACGATAGGGAATTCTCCATATTTGAGAGGCTAAAAACTGCATTTTCTACAATTTGTATGTCAATTGACTTAACAATGAGTCTACTAATCATTGCAGCTTTAATCAATAAAAGTACTTTTCTGTAGAAGTTGCAGTGCATTGTATTGGGGGAAAAATATAACTCAATCTCGCAGATCTTTGCAGTAGATGTACAGTATGAACATGGTCTGAGTAAATGTGTCTACAGTTGTGGCTGCATTTTAAGCCAATGGTCACACACAACTATTTCTGTTTCTCACAACATCTATTTTCAGTGTGTCACGAGGACTGGCGTCAGCGCTGTTTTTGCGAATAAACTTCCCTTATAAAATCAGATTTAGACAACTTTACAGCCTCGGCCTGGTGTAGAAAATACCTCCTCTGCTTTTAGTGCAAATGTCATGACTGCCCCACACAGAAGCTTGGAAGCTCCCTCCATCTATAGCAAACAATACAATCAAAATGATTAATGCAGAAGCTGTTTGTTATGGTGCGTGTGTGGCTATGTGATCTGAACGCTTTGTTCACTCTTTGATTATTCCGACCATCTGTCCTCACTTCCCCTCCCGCTCCTCCCCTCACTTTTATCACCAGCCCACTTTCACATATGACCTACACACACACACACACGCACGCACACACACACACACACACACACACACACACACACACACACACACACACACACACACACACACACACACACACACACACACACACACACACACACACACACACACGCACACGCACCCACACAGCGGAGTGACCTTTGGTGTTAAGTGATTCATCCTCATTGTTTTTCCTCTTCCCTTTTTTCTTGTCATCTTCTATTACACCATCCCTCTCTTCTTCAGCTCGTATATAAACCAGCAGTTTTAACAACACTCCTCATTAAACGTCGCTGCATTGAATGCTAATGACATTCAGAATTGATTATGAGAATATTACGATTATTTATGAGATTATTTAAGACTTTTATAAGAGACTACAAGGCCTAGCTCTTGCCTACATCTTCAAACTACACAACCTGTAAACCAACAAAAGACCACTTACTGACGGCAATCAGACCAACACATGTTACTCTCAAAAATCTTGAATAAATAAGATATTATGTGACTATTATGACACATTTGTTAAAACGAGAAAGGTATCCTATTGACAATTGTGACCTTTAAAAATGCTAGAAAATCTAAAGACGCACAGGAAAAATTGCGTGTTAATTCTAACTATTGTGAAATATAATTGTAATGTCCATTTCGCTCTAAAAATCAGTGGCAGCAATTCTTTTATTGGATGATAATAAATGTGAATGTTGCAAAAATATGGAAGAAAATGTGTGCAATGTTCCTTCACCAGTTTTACATATGTATTCTCTTTCTTTCTGCCCAATAGTGCTGTGGTGGAGAAGTATCTGCTGGAGAAGTCTCGCCTGGTGTCCAGAGAGAAGAACGAGAGGTGAGGAGGGAGGGTCATTCTGGGTCTTGACCTCTGACCCCCGCTGACCTTCATGGGGCCTTCTGTACAAACAGTGGAACCCTCTGACGGGCGTAAATGAAGTTCAGCATGTGTCTTTGACTTTAAGATGTTCATCTGCCTAAACACACACACACACACACACACACACACACACACACACACACACACACACACATACCATGTATACATCACTTCAGGGGACATTACATTGACTTACATGCATTTCCTGGAGACTTATCCTAACCTTAACCATAACCAACACATGCCTAACCCTAACCCTTACCCTTACCCTAACCCTAACCCTTACCCTAACTCTAACCCTAACCCTAACCAAGTCTTCACCCTAAAATTAATGATTCCCCTCATGGGGACCTCCAATTTGTCCCCATAAGGGAAGCCAGTCCCCACACGTGACTATGTAAACAGATTTAGGTCCCCACAAGTATAGTAATGCTAGACCACACACACACACACACACACACACACTTTACTAACATATGCAGACACTGACACTCAACAGTGAGATGTTTTACACCTCGAGGATTGACTATGTACATACAGGGATCCTGCGAAACCCGTTAAGAAAAGTCACACAATTGGCTGATTCTTTTATCTATATCGACTTACAATAAGTGCAAAAACCAGAGAGATTCAAACTCCGAACAACAAGGAAAGTGCAGATATATTCACTTCTAGTCATAACATTGTAAGTGCTGGTGAATTAGTCACAAGGCCTAAACTCACTCTTCAAAGTGCTTTTTTAAATGTTGTGTTGCCAAGGTACAATCGAAACAGATGTGATTTCAGTTTGCGATGGAAGATATGCAGTTTCTGCTGTCAATGGGGAGCTCATTCCACCATTTAGGAACCAGGATAGCAAACAGACGTGTTTTTGAGGGGTACCTGGGGCCCACTCGCAGAGATGGAGTATACAAATATAACCTTAATTGGCACCGTTTAGGACAGAGAGTGAATACACATGCTGTATGAGAAACCAATGTGAGTTTGGAAAATTGCACAATATACATTTATTTTAGTAGACCTCAACAATGGAATTATGATCAGTAGAAATGGCCATGACACGGGACCTTTAAAGCATCAATAATCATAATCCGGTATTTTAAAATATGTATAAATCTCAAATGTGCGTCCTCTTATTCATGGCACCTTACGTAGTTTTGTATTCCAACACTTTCGATTTTTTTTAGTGCAGGACGTTTCATTGTAACAGAGTATTATTACTATTTAGTTTGGTTACTTTTACTAAAGGATCATGGTACTTCTTCCACCACTGTGCCTGTGTTCAAGTAGTAAGAGCGTTACTCATTACCGCTTCCTGTCCAGATTAGTTTTGTAATATTTAGTCACCTTCCACCACCTTACAGTTGCTGTTCACGGTGAATCTGAGTGACTCTCTGTATGAGGTAATGTTTCAGTGATAAGTGTGGAAACTCATTACTCCCGTGTGTTAATACAACAAAGCGTAGTCGCCTTTATTCCAACCTGCCCGCTGATAGCAGGAGTGGAAAACTGATATCACGGAACTCCAGACATTGTTTTCTTTCTATTAGTTATTACAATGTGTTGACTCTCGCTTTATCAGCCAAACGTAATCACCCCCTGAGTTGTAGCCATAAACATGGAGCTCATATCCACTGACAAAAGAACCAAATGGTGGCGGCATACAGGAAGGATTTCATTCTCTGAAGGGGTGATTCAATGATCTAATATCACATCGACACATATCAATATCTCTTCAGAAATACACCTTTGTTTTGATATGGTAAATAAACTGTACTCATATAGGTTATATATATATATATATTAGTGCTGTCAAAATTATCGCGTTAACGGCGGTAATTAATTTTTTGAATTAATTGCGTTAAAATATTTAACGCATTTAACGCATGTGCAGAATGGCCCGCCCCATACATGCCACCAGTGGCAGCGCCAGGGTATGGCTGGGATAGGCTACACCCATATGGGCTCAGAACAGTCTCATAATACACACATGCACACAGAAGGATTCACACTTGTATTTCCGGATCCATACTTGTGTTTTTCAATGCACACACAAATGTATTCCGTTTCATATACATGTAAATAAAATCCAAATACAGACAAAAGTTTTACGTATGTATTTTTGATCCTCACTTATTTGTTTCCCGTTTAAATCCTCTGAACCTGCAAACACAAACAGCTTTCTGTGCACGGATCGCTTTGCATTCGTGTGTGGGTTTTTTGAGACTCCCCTGACGGTCAGCCGATTCGTACTTGTAATTTTTTTATCTATAGCCAATCAGATGTCTCCTTCATTCTAAGCCAATCACATGAGCGCGCCCCCACGAGGGTAAGATTACTTCATATACGCATTTTGCGCAGGCCGGTCAGCTCGCTAAACAGAGGGCGGAGCATCAGGTGATCATGCAGAGCAGCATGTCTCCGTCAGACTCAGCAGCTGATCTGATCTCTCTCTCGCGTCCGGTTATACTTCACTCGCGTTTATGTCCATATCGATCAGATCCAGCTTTCCTGGTCGGCCTTTATAGAGAGCACCGATCAAACTATTAAGAGTGAATATCGGCCGATAATGACCGGCGGGGCTCCCCCCCGTTAACAGTCTAGCACTGGCTTCGTAGTGCACTGATCGATTAGGCTAAGCTAACCTGTAGCTGCTCCCTCCACACTCACAACAACTTCATACAGACATAAATAAAGCAGCTGTATTCGCCATACAGGAAACACACATTTAAAACGGGTTTGCCTGCCGTTTTTGTGTACACAAGCATTCATCAATGGTTTGGAAAGTGGCGCTGTACCTTAATAATATAAAGGCTTGTATTTGCGTGCATTTCCTGTTCGGAAAGTGGCGCTGTACTGAGAGTGGAGTGTGTCCTGAGATTAGCGCATGCAGGCAGGCTCCATGGAGCTGTCAGCTCCGGACTGCGCAAAATGCGTACATGAAGCGCTACGTCATGAACGCAATAAATCTACCCTCGTGGGGGCGCGCTCATGTGATTGGCTTAGAATTGAGGAGACATCTGATTGGCTATAGATAGAAATAATTACAAGTACGAATCGGCTGACCGTCAGGGGAGTCTAAAAAAAAACACACACGAATGCACAGCGATCCGTGCACAGAAAGCTGTTTGTGTTTGCAGGTGCAGAGGTTTTAAACGGAAAACAAATATGTGAGGATCAAAAATACATATGTAAAACTTTTTTCTGTATTTGGATTTTATTTACATGTATATGAAACGGAATACATTTGTGTGTGCATTGAAAAACACAAGTGTGAATCCGGAAATACAAGTGTGAATCCTTTTGCGGATCATGAAATACAAGTGTGAATCCTTCGTGTGTGTATTATGAGACTGTTCTGAGCCCATAACACCCATACCAAGAAATGGCTTAGCCCCACCATGAAAAATTATGTTAAAGTAAGCAAAATAAAGTCTGCCAACTCGCGCGGAGTAAATTGCAGAGACAGCTGTTAGTCAGATTGATTTCAGTAGCCACGGTTTTGAAAACTTTTGTCACGTAGTGATCGTCTTCTCAATAGAACATCTTTGATAACGGCGTGGTGTTGTTGCAGGAAGTCCCGACGGAGAATACTTTTGCTGTAGTACAGGGGTACACATAACTGGTACGCAGGTTATGTGCGTAATCTCTCTGAAATGCGTACCGTCACTTGTGTCACAAAGCGCATTTGCGTACCGACGTACTTGTGAAGCTTTTCCAGAAGGCGGTTAGATCACCGGACGACAGAGTCGGTCTCCGTGTGCACAGACAGGCTGCTGTTAACGTCGGTCTGTACAATTGTGCCAAAACTACGCCAACCGGCTGCGGAGGGAGACTTCCCCCCCCCTTCACTGGAGAACTGCGCTAAAACAGCTGATCACAACAGGCCGCAAGGTGAACCTCGAAACGTCCTTTAGAAAAGAAATCCCGCTCCACAGAAGTGGAACTACATAATCTTTAGTTCATAAAAAAGAACGAGTCATGCTTATCCACCAAAGAAAAGTTCGTCGCTAAAATTCCTGTCAATTCTTCTAGGCACGTAATTATTGGCTGAACTAGTCCCTTCAAAGCGTAATAATATCTTGGTCAAAAGTAGTGCCACGGTTTGTCACGTGATCGTGCTACACCAATTGGGTAGCTGCATATTGTCAACAGAAGTGAAAGATGGCCGCCTACATGGTTACGCTAAACCAGACCAAATGGATTCTAAACAGTGCTGTATGCTTGTTTTATGTCATGTTTTGTCATATGTCTTAATACATCACTAAGTGCGAGGTATTTGCGTTATATACGCGGTATTTGTGAGAGGTTTTACTATCTGGGAACAGAGTTGACCATCGAATCAACATTGGCTAGCAGCGTTTATCAGCCAACTCCAGCAACAACAACATTCCTGGACTACCATGTTCGCATCGCTAGGTTCATTGGCTGAGCTCGTGGATTATTCCATTAGACTGAGGACTTTTTGTCTGTCTGTTGTTATTGTTACCCTGTACACGTTAAATGCACTCTTACAATAAACATGACTTGATTTCATACATAGCTGCGTCCAAGAAGGTTAACTTGTTACGTTAAGTAATTTAGATCAATAAAATGCAGTACTTATACCAATGACCATTGATTCATTTATTTACTCATTCATCATATAATAATTTGATGAATTGCATTATTATTATTATAGATTATTATTATAGATATATATAGATTATTATAGATATATATAGATTATTATTATAGATATATATAGATTATTATTATAGATATATATAATATATATATATATATTATATTATTATTATTATTATTATTGTAATATGATAATATTGTATTTGTAACTTCAAAATCAATGCCACCGTTGTAAGCTTGTCCTGTACGTATTCCATCTTGTATTGGTAAAATAATCAACCTTGTCGTGCTTCACAGACGTAATATGCATGTAACAATGTTTGTGTGTTGATAATTTTGACTTTTTGAGACTTTCTGGTGCGTTTTCCTCGTCCCCGCTACTCGATGAAACCATGGCGGTCGCCAGTTTTTCCAAATCTGTTTGTTGATACCGGTATATGCAGCTACCCAATTGGTGTAGCACGATCACGTGACGGACCGTGGCACTACTTTTGACCAAGATATTATTACGCTTTGAAGGGACTAGTTCAGCCAATAATTACGTGCCTAGAAGAATTGACAGGAATTTTAGCGACGAACTTTTTTTTGGTGGATAAGCATGACTCGTTCTTTTTTATGAACTAAAGATTGTGTAGTTCCACTTCTGTGGAGCGGGATGAAACGATAACAGGGTTCACCTTATGGCCTAAACGTTCACACTCTGTGGTCACGAAGTACTCCACTAGCCGCCCCCCCCCCCCGTCGACTTTCCTGAAGTACTTCCCCGTTGATAGAAATCAACACGTAATGAATTAAGACCCCACGGTTTGATGATTGATAGGTGTGTGGGTTGTCTTTCATTTTGACATGCAAATATTTTTTATAATAAACATACATAGGCTACATACTGTATGTTAAATGGATATATCCGCCTTCTTTCATTTATCTTTCCATTCCCACAACAATATACATAAATAAATGGCAGATTTTGGACATAGTTCGAATGGTGATTAATCATGATTAATTCATTTTTAAGCTGTGATTAATCTGATTAAAAATTGTAATCGTTTGACAGCCCTAATATATATATATATACATACATCGACATGTCTGGGTGGGCTGGGATCCAACCCACAACCTTCTGATTCAGCCATAGTCGTGATAAGAGGTTCAAACTTACTGAAAACATATTGTTTTAAATGATGCACGTAAAACTGCTGTGACATCCCTACTCTGTCCTTGTTACCAAATGCATCTGTTAGAAAAGTGGAAGAATTTGGCAAATTCTCATCATCTAGAAATACTTCAATCAATATTTTAAAATACATCAAAGGATATCTGAAGTATACAAACATTTGTAGACACTTTTATATATTCTGTGGAATTTTGTGCTTACAATATCGGAAATGTTTTCATACCTACAGAGATCTACAATTTCATTCAAGCTAACGATCCATTTCTTAAAACACAGTATGATACGTTTAAAATAAAGAAAGTAATTACAGAGCTGGAAAAAAACTTGAAAAATCTCTGAGATTAAAGAGAAACGTGCAGAAAAATTGATAAAATAGCAGCATTTTCTTAAACTGTTGCTGTTTGTGTGGTGGCATTTCAGATGTAAAGCCTTCAGTGCATTTGAACCTTTACACCCCTAAAGATCTTTAATATCATCATGTGTCTTTTTTCCAGGAACTACCACGTGTTTTACTACCTGCTGTTGGGGGCTTCAGAGGAGGAGAGGAAGGAGTTCAAGCTGCTGCCGCCTGAAGAGTACTTCTACCTCAAGCAGGTACACACTTCATCCTCTTTCTCTTCCATATACAAATCTGAGTTATGACAGTTATTGTACCCTCTGTTCATCCGGCTCCACCCCCCATCGTGTTAATGCTGTAGCCTGTCGTTGCGTGTGATTTGACCTTTAAGGGGTGTGTGTGTGTGTGTGTGTGTGTGTGTGTGTGTGTGTGTGTGTGTGTGTGTGTGTGTGTGTGTGTGTGTGTGTGTGTGTGTGTGTGGTGGTGTGTGTGTGTGGTTGTGTGTGTGTGTTGTGTGTGTTGTGTGTGTGTGTGTGTGTGTGTGTGTGTGTGTGTGTGTGTGTGTGTGTGTGTGTGTGTTGTGTTGTGGGTGTGTGTGTGTGTGTGTGTGTGTGTGTGTGTGTGTGTGTGTGTGTGTGTGTGTGGTGTGTGTGTGTGTGTGTGTGTTGTGTGTGTGTGTGTGTGTGTGTGTGTGTGTGTGTGTGTGTGTGTGTGTGTGTCCTGTATTCAGCCTGTGAGCGTCTGAATGTTGCTGTATTCTCCCAGCTCTCTGCCACATGTGCTCTGCATGTTAATGAAGCAGTCTTTGTTCTCCCTCTCTCCTGTGTATCCCCCCTCTCTCCTGTGTATCCCCTGTATCTCCCCCCCTCTCCCCTGTATCTCCCCCCTCTCCCCTGTGTACCCCCCCCCCCTCTCTCCTCACCCTTCTCTTCATTCATGTGTTTTCGTTTGTTTGTCCAGTTCTGCTGTTTTCTTCATTTTCCATTGAAATGCACTGATTTGTTTCTGGTACGGAATATAAATCCTCCACACTAGGCTCTCCAATTCAAACAAAAAGTCAATACATCAAAGAAAGCCACTATATATATGTATATACACAAATAACAGTATTCTCTCAATTAATCAGAGGTCAGTTTTACAATTATAAAAATATCCTTTGTTAACCAAAATTAATCAAATCTATTTTTATTTTTTTAAATAGAACAAAGGAGAACCGCTTTCATAGTTTCTCCTTATAATAATACTACTTTAAACTATATATCATATTAATAAAATAATATATATAAATATTATATGATTATTTGTTTAAACTCTTATTCTAGAAGACAATATTTCATACATACAATCTTAAATACAAAAAAATACCAACAACATGCAACGAAATAAATAAGACAAGCAAAACAAATCACAAAACTGTTTCCCAAGTCTCCTCGCTAATCGTACTAATATTGCTTGGCTATATTTTATGAAATCTAACAAATAAAACGCTTAGAAAAATCTTAAAATACAGTACATTACCCTCCCTACCTTAAATATGGAGGACCCTCAATGTGAAAATGCAAAAAGACGTAGAAGTGGTCAGGGACGAGGTTCAGCTGTTTGGTAATCTGTTTCAAGTTTTGCTGTACATAACATTTACACCAGAATGAAACAAGATGGAAGCTAGAAAAGCATTTAAATAATGATGGAAGTATTTCACTTTCCTCCTCCAGTTGCTGCAGCTTTCATTCTCCACCTGAATAATGAACTAACATTTGATTCATTTTGTCTTGCAGCAAAACTTTAAGATCGAAGATGAGGAGGACCTTCGGCACGACTTTGAGCGTCTGCAGCAGGCGATGGAGATGGTGGGCTTCCTCCCCGCCACCAAGAAGCAGTGAGTGAACCAGAGACACTATATAAGACACTTAGGTTGCGTTTCAATTGTGAGTTTAGCTGAGGAACCTTCCTAGCTGAGGAGCTGAGGAACCTTCCTAACGGAGTGAAATGACCCGGAAGTCCCTCAGTGGCAGTCATGATAAGAGCCGTTCGAATTCTCTAGATGATAGGAAAGGAGCTTTGAAACTTCCTTTATAACCTCCTTTAGCTTAGGAAACACTGGACCTTCCTTTAGGAAAGAAAAGGAGAAAATGCTGTCCCACAATGCCTTGCGGCCGCAACATTTACCGTCACAACATTCGGCCGTTCACGGAAACAACCGATTAAGACCGAGAAATGATATCATGAAAGTTACGGTGCTTATTAAGCATTTTACAACTTATGTGATAGCTTGTTTTGAACGTGCATCACTATAATAATCAAAAGGAGAAATATGAACGTTACTTTCGTACTGAAAGGATCAAATACAGTCTCAGTGTTTACTGAGCTGTGTGGGTTTGAATGGTGATAGGCCTAGCACGTTTATAATAAATCCATTTCTATTTATTTGTAAATCTTTTCATATAACCATACGTATCGGGATTCATGTGGATTACGTGTGGACCATAATCATAAAGCATAAAACAACACCATAAGAGCACAGTAGTCACAGTAAAGTAGTCCGTCGTTCTTATTATACATCCATGTAGTCCGCTGTATAGAGAACTGTAGTTTCTCGCAGCAGACGCACATTTGTGACGGCCGCTGGCGCATCATTAATACGTCGGTAGTGCAGTCGGATTCTCAAAGCACCACAGTCTCTTTTCTGAAGTCCTTTTGTAATATATTTTTGTTTTGACATTTGGCAGCAAACAATTACACATTGTTTTTCAAGACATAGTAATCGTACATCTTAAGTTTGTCCGAAATGCCTTTTTCTTTTTTTTACACACAGATCAAATAAAAACAGTAAAAAGTACGAACAATACGAACATTAGGGAGTGATCACAGTAAAATCATTCATTTGAGGTTTTACGAAATCAGTCCACTTTCTCCATCGTGACACAAGTAGTTCCAGTTTGTGATTGACAGAGGATCCTCTCCACTTTGTAAATGTCCATCCATGTGTTTACAGTTGGGCTATCTGGTGATAACCACTTCTTTGTAAGAGCTTTTTTACTCGCCACCAGCAACAGATTTAATACATATTTGTCTTTTTTAGTCCATTCTTGAGGCGTGAGTCCAAAGAACAAAGAACTCTCCATGGGCATGACATTTGAAAATATCTTGTAAGGCTTTATGTATCTCTCTCCAAAAGAGAGTCCGCGGGGTCTTAAAAAGTATTACAAGTTGATAAATCAATTTAGCGAAAATTAAGCCTATTAAACGGCATTTCCCAAGGTGTCACATTTTGTAGCTTGTTTTCAATAAGTATATAAATGGTCCAGAGAGGTTGTATTCTACAGTCTGCCTGAATGTAATCATGGCGTAGGTGTGTAGTGTGATTCTGTGTAGTTTATTGATGGCATCCCGTTGGGTTTGACGTCATCTGAACAGGACGTCGCACGCTCACTGCTTGATAGCGCGGAAGGTCCGTTTACGCCGGTTGCTAAACAACATCGTTATGGAGAAATGCAAGTTAGCGTCCAAATGGTTGGAAGATAAGGAGGAAGGACAATTAATACTGTGTATAGTCAATGTGAGGTAAAGTGTGTCGCCAAGGTAACCGGTTAAAACTCAAAGTGGAGATGAGGTCTTAAAATGTATGGAAGGGTCTTGAAAGGTTTTACATTTGACTTCAGGATTCCTGCAGATACCCTGCCTAACAGGGCAGTCCCAGAAAACGTGATAATGATTTTCATTTGAATTTCCACATTTTCTCCAGCAGTCTGGAGTTACCACCATAGTGAGACTTCTGAGAGCTATAAAATATCTTATCAGGCTTTTCCAACCAACTCCCTCCGTTATGTGAACTGGTACATTTCCACTGATATTTCCATATTGTTGTCCATTCCTCCTCAGATATGATAACCCCGCCTCCTTCCTTCTCCCACTTGGATGAAGTCCTTTTGAATTCTCCTATCCACTATCCCTTAACCCCGTGACGTTTCACACAGATACAAAAATAAAAAGTAGAACAAAGAGGCCGTTTAGCACAACAATAGCTGCATCTGGTGGACTAATGCAGCGGTTTATTAGAAACACTGTGCAGCTGCAGCTCCATACAATGCCTCTATTCAGTCTAATAGTTATTGAAGATAAACAGATGATTGGACAGCAGCGTGTGCCGCTCTCTTCCTGTTGTCGTCATATGACTTCAGTCACTGTTTCTTACTCATTCTCTGTGACTGTGTTGCAGGATCTTCTCCGTGCTTTCTGCCATCTTGTATCTGGGCAACGTGACCTACAGGAGGAAGTCGACGGGGAGAGATGAGGGTCTGGACGTGGGACCCCCGGAGGTCCTGGCCACGCTCTCTGACCTGCTGATGGTAACTCACTTGGTGCAGGGTTGGGGAGGAAGTGATCATAGCATCCTTTGTAGCACAGCAGGGGCAAGTGGCAAGCACCTTTAAATACAATCAGATCAAATCTGTGATCAAACCAAAAAGGAATCTATTAAAGTATTAAAGTAGCACCAAGTGATAACAACAGTTTATATGTAATTAATAGGGCTGTCAGTCGATAAATATTTAATCGCGATTAATCGCACATTTTTGATCTGTTCTAAATGTTCCTTAGAGGAATATTATTTTAGTTTTTAATACTCT